TTTTACACTCTCAAAATCTTTGTGACATTTTTCTGGATCCCAGAATATGTATGGTTTTGACAAATACTGAATGAGATTCTGTGTTAGCCAGGGCCTGTGTTAGGCACCAACACTCTGCCACCCTGGGCGGGGTCCCCAGGCCAGCAGCTTCGGCATCACCTGAAAGCTCTCTAGAGACACAGCTTCTCAGCCCTAACCCAGCCCTGCCGACTCAGACTCTGGTGGCCCCACTTCATTACTCCAGAGGATAAGATGACAGATGAGACCTGGTCCTTGTCCTCAACAAGTTCAGACACTAGAGGAAGAGAGGAACATGAAACTGGGGACTTTGCAATCCGCAGAGCTAACTGCCATGAGGGAATCAAGCTCAGCAGGTTCCAAACGTCCAGAGGAGGGGTGTGCTGGCTCTGGGAACTCAGGCAAGGCTCCTGGCAGGAAGTAAACCCAAGCTGGCCACAGTGGAATGGGAGGTGCCCTCCTGAGAAGATATGGGCAATGGTTCACAAGAAGAGGAATCCCTGGGACTTCCCTGGTGGCCCAGTGTCTAAGATTGTGCTCCCAATACAGGTTCGATCCCTGATCGGGGAACTAAGATGCTGCATGCTGCATTGCAGGGCCAGAAAAAGTCTCTGGAGGCTCCTGGATGCTCACCTCTCGCAGTATAAACAACAGTCCCTAAAGGAAGGCCAGACATGGTGGGGTGCAAGGAAAATGGTTTGGCTACCCCATGCACAAGAAGCTTCCACAAAGGGACCCTGTTACGACTTCTCCAGCGGTCCAGTGGCTAAGACTCCACGCGCCCAATGCAGGGGGCCTGAGTTCCATCCCTGGTCAGGAAACTAGGTCCCACATACTAGAGCTGAGAGTTCACATACTGCAACTAAGACCTGGCCTGGTCATATACATAAGTAAAAATAATCTTTTTTTTCTTTTTTTTAAAGAAGAGGGTCCCCCATTGAAAGACTGATACTGTCTGGGACATTTTCCACATCCAAAGCTTTATTGGTAAACACTAGTGATTATACTCTTTAGGCAACAATGGCCTTTGCATACCACAGATCAAGAGGGGACTTCGTTTACATCTCTGACCCTGGGAAGCATAGATGAGTATCAGTGGAAGTTAAGGCTGTGTGTACAGCAATAGAGATGTCATTGGCCCTAATGTTTTCATTTCCACTTAATAAGCATGTAGTTTGCACATGCTCCTTGGGTAATCCTTCATCNTGTCTCCTGCATTGGCACGTAGATTCTTAACCACTGGACCACCAGGAAGATCCCGCTAGTGGCCTTTCTTTCTGTGATCCTCACAGCATCCCTGGGTGTCACTTCCCCTTATGACAAATAACAAAGCAGAGGGGAGGAAGCCCTCTGTTGATACCTGAAACAGACTCCAAACTTCTCCTTCTCCACTCCTGACTATTTCTCACCAAAGGTACTCCCTCCCCCAAAGATTTCTTTTTTCGTCTGCATCCATTCGCGTCTCCGTTCCTCCCCTTCTGTCTCTCAGCTTTCCACTCCCGGCCCCCAGACTCTGCGTTTCAGGCTTTCAATAACAGTACTCATCACCATGGTGCCCTTGGGTCCCGCAGACATCCCATTAGTGCATGCTTCAAGATGCATTTAAATCTACAATTCTACTGCTGGTTATTTCCTGCCTTTTAAAAGCCTTGATCTTTATCTGCACATCAGGTCTTTTCTGTCTTGCAACCCTCTTTCTGAGAGACACTGTGGGGCTTTCACCTCTAACATCCTGTATCTTAATTTCTAGCAAATCCTTAGTTTTCAGTTTCCCCCTCAAGGACACATTGGGAAGACTTATGGGACCCTAATACTGGAAGGGTAGCAATGCGGAAGCAGGGCCAGGGTAGAAGTGAAGCAGGCAGGGTGCTGAAACCATGTGGCCTAGGGGAGAAAAACTAGTGAGAGCCTAAATTGTGGTGAAGGAGGACACCGAGGTGGCTCATGGACCATGCCCAATACAAGAGCAAAGTTTCAACATAAATGAGACGAATGAGTTGCTTGAGACAAGTTGTTCCAGAGTCATCCTTTTATGCAGTGCCACGGACAGTTTCTGCAAGTGGAACTTGAGGGAACCTGCAGATCTGATTACATATGGCTTCAAAAACTCTTTCCCCAGGTATGGAAAGCTGGATGGCCCACCCATAGGCAACACTGTCTTCGGTTTGAAACATAATTTTTCTGTCTAATCCTTCTTGGGTGGTTTAATTAAAACAACAAAGGCAGAATGCTGCTCTGCTTCTTCTAAGAGCCCTGATAACCATTTTCTGAACCTTCTTTGGGTGCATCTGTTTTGTATTTTGTAGAATGAAGGGAAACATATTCAGACTTCACAGCAGGGTGGACTATTTTCACCTACAAACTAAGGAAGAATGACCTTCTCCCTATATACATCCCTACACCGATGACTAAGCAGCTACTGTCAAGTCAGTGGCAAGAGAGAGAAGTAGTTTAGAAGAGGGTCACAAACCTTCTGTAAAGGTCACAGAGTAAGTAGTTGAGGCCACAGACACATGGCCTTGATCACAATTACTCAATCCCACAGCTTCCAGAAAGCAACCATAGACAAAATGTAATTGAATGAGTATAACTGGGTTTCAATATATGAACTTCATATAATTTTCACATATTCACAAAATATTATCCTCCCTTTGTTTTCTTGCTGTTTAGTCGCTAAGTCATGTCTGATTCTTCTGTGACCCCGTGGACTGTAGCCCAGCAGGCTCCTCAGTCCACAGGATTTCCCAGGCAAGAATACCTAAGTGGATTGCCACGCCCTTCTCCAGGGGATCTTCCCAACTCAGGGACTGAACCCCTATCTCCTGCATTGGCAGGCAGCTTCTTTACCACTGAGCCACCAAGGAAGTTTTTTTAACTGTTTCAAAATATAAAGTACATTCCTAGCTCATAGGACAACAAAAGCAAGCAGCAGGATGGATTTAGACTTTGGGCCATGGTTTGGCAAACCCTGACTTAGTCCCACCCCTCTGATGACCTAGAGGAGTGGGATGGAGGGGTGGGAGGAAGGTTCTGGAGAGAGGGGATGTATGTATGTGTATACATATAGCTGATTCACTTTGCTGAACAGCAGAAACAAATTTAACACTGTTAAGCAAGTATACTTTGATTTTAAAAACTAATTTGCTTCCCAGGATATTAGATGTTCTCCTACTATCAGTGGTTCCTAATCCTATAGGTAACTCAGAATCACCTATGGCTCTTTTATTTTAAAAAAAATTTATAAGGGCCAAAGCTTTTCAAACCTACCTAACTAGAGTCTCAAATTAGAGGGTTATTCTCTGGAATTATGATATCATAATTTAGCGATAATGTTTAGAAATAATATGTCTTAATAGTATTTAGAAATACTATAAATTATTGAATGCCTTACTGATGGCCATTTAGGTTGGTTCCAGCTCTTTGCTATGATTGTAAAAAACTGTAGCAAACATCATTTTACACATATTATCCAATTGTGTCCTTAGGATAAATTCCTAGATTTTTAATTGCTAAGCCAAAGAGTATAAAAATTTCCAAGTTTCAACTGTAGCAGATGATGTTGTGAGTTTGCATTGTAAGACACAAAACACAATCCTCTGCTCCAAACCAAAGCAATGCTCCATCTTAAACCTTGGTGTATTAAAAAAAAAGTGATAAGAGTGAATCCTTGTGATTCAGTGGCTAAAACTCCATGATTCCAATGCAGGGGTCCCAGGTTCCATGCCTGGTAGGGGAACTAGAGCCCACATGCCACAACTAAAAGTTCTTGCATGTAGCAAATAAGATTTGGTGCAGCCAAATAAATAAATTTTTTTTAAGTTTTTTTTTTTTTTGAAAATACTGGATTTAATAGAAAATAGCACATTGTAAACAAGTCTATTGATCCATTAGCTTAAAACCGAATGGCAGCACAATCACGTATAAAAGCTAAAGGTAAAACACTGGTACCAAAAACAGCGCTTAAAGAGAGGCCTGAGCCAGGCTCTGAAAGATCTTTCCCAGAAAAGAGGTGGCAGCAGCTTCCAACTGGCACAAAAACAGGGAGGAGGAGGCAGCATCCAAACCGTCAAGGCATAGAAGTAAGAGGAAAGCAGAGCAGTAGACTCATTTTGTGATCAAGGAACAAAGGAGAAAGGGGCAAAAGCATTGTGTTTCCTAATGTTCTGGAAACATGAGGCCATGCCACAGGAGCCCATGAGGGTTAGGATAGGGTATTTTATGTGGGGAAAGAATACTAGGCAACTTCAAAAGAAGTTGGTATGTTTTTGGCACTCAGCTCTTAGGGGTGTAGAACATGTCACTTGTGTGTTTCTAAATTCAACCAAGCTGCTTGCCCTGGCCCCATAACCTTGGCTGAATACAGCTTTGAATTTGACATTGTCTGTTGCCCCTGTGGACCTCGTCCATGTGTATGAGAGGTTCCACAGTGAGACTCTGGAATAAAACACAGGACTCTTATGGGGAAAATGTTCCACCTTCCAGTGCTAGAAGGTCCCTGTGGGAGGAGAGTGTGACATGGAAGGGTCCCTTTAGGCTCGAGTTTATCAGAGAAAGCCTTCTCTCTAGCCCCACCCACCCAAATCCTCCCTTAGAGTCCTCTGAGTTCAAGGAATGGCCAACTCAAAGAGCAGGGGGGCGGTGGGGGGAATGGGGAAAAGAAAGTAAGGGATAGTTTCCTTCCCATGGCCTCTATTATTGACCAAAGGGACTGCTTCCTCATACTGATTTTAGTTTATTCCTTAATCTAAAATAGTGATTCTCAAATAAGGGGCAGGTCTGTTCAAGAGGAACTTTCAAGACTCTCCAAAGAGGTTCTATCCAATATATATAAGTCCTTAACTCCCTCCCCAGTTGAGAATCAGTGCACATAATGATAGAACTTACTGATGGGAATGTAGTATACATGTGAACAGTGTCAGAGACAGAACAAAAAGCTAAAAACCCCTAGTCAGTGGGGCAGACATAAAAATTATGGATTTTTTTTTCTAATTAAGAATAAGTTACAAACAAGTAGCTAAACTCCATGACCAAACTCCATGCTGCATAGCCAAGAACAGTTCGCCCACTTATCTAGTAACCATACTAGATTAAAGAAATACAATTCTGTCATCCTAAAGACAATTTCCAGAAAGATCTGCCTGTCCCAATGAGGTACTTGATATCAGGATTAGCACAGACTAATCACTGTATGGTTTCTTGGAAGACTGGCTTTTCTCTATTTCTTTCTCTTTGATACTGTACAAGGGGTCCACCAATTTGTTATGAACAAGCATTAAACCTTTGAAATACTTGATGGTCTTCACTTTCAACTCCAGGGTAGCATCCTTGTCACACACAAACACTGTGCGGGGATGCTGCTGGAAGGCAGACACGGTCCACATGTGGTTCACTCCCTCCTTGCTGGCCTTGTACAGAGCAAACGCCTTGTGAGCACCTGTGATGAGGATCATCACCTCTCTAGCATCCATGACAGTGCCCACACCCACCGTCAGGGCCATAATGGGCACCTTGGCAAGATCTCCATCGAAGAACCTAGCATTGGCCAGGATGGTGTCCATGGCCAACGTCTTCACACGGGTCCTAGACACCAGACTGGAGCCTGGCTCATTGAAGGCAATGTGTCCATCAGGGCCGATGCCTCCAACAAACAGCTCAATCCCACCCACAGCCTTGATCTTCTCTTCAAAGGCATCACACTCAGCCTGTAGGTCAGCTGCATTCCCATCCAGGATGTGAGTGTTTTCTGGGTGGATGTCAATGTGCTTGAAAAAGTTGTTCCACATGAAGGAGTGGTAGCTCTCTGGGTGGTCTCAATGAAGGCCCACATACTCATCCATGTTGAAAGTCTTCACATACTTGAAGGACAGGTCTCCATTCTTATAGTATTCAATCAGTTTCTTGCAGCAGCCAAGTGGGGTGCTCCCAGTAGGGAGCCCTAGGGTGAAGTACTTGTCTGGCCCTGGGTTAAACTGGATGATGTGGTTCCTGATGTATTTGGCTGCCCACTCACTGGCCTGAGAATAGTGGTCCAGGATGATGAGCTTCATCGTGTCGCAGATGCCTCCCGTGGCGGCTGCAACGACTGCCTTTTTATAAGTTTTAAAAAAAGTGATAAGCATCTTGATGGAAGAAAATGAGAGGTTAATACATAACCTTGGGCAGGGCTAGAGCTGTGGACCATCTGGGATCCAAGGACATTAATACAAGTAGCCCATATTTAGCTTCAGTAGTGGGCTGATGTGAGGCCTGGCTTGTGAAATCAGGAGCTGGAATAGAATGAGGTGGGGCTCCTTCACTCAAGAACAAAGGTTAAAAGAAGTTGACCCAGCTTCCTGGCTGTATTCTACATTAAGCTGTTGCCCAAGGTAGCAGCGTTGGTAAAGAATCGGCCAGCAATGCAGGAGATGCAGGTTTGATCCCTGGGTCAGGAAGTTCTCCTGAAGGAAAAATGGCAACTTGATCCAGTATTCTTGCCTGTAGAATCCCAGGGACAGAGGAGCCTGGTGGGCTATAGTCTATGGGGTCTCAAAGAGTCAGACATGACTAAGTGACAAAGCATGGTATGGCATGGCAAGGTAGGATAAGGAATTAGACATTCACGCAAGTGGAACTTGGGCCACACTACCCATCGGCTCCAGAACTGAATCTGAAGCATCCCTGTGAGATAGGAGCCTCAAACTTCTATCATAAGTCCTGGTTTTGAGTTGTGAAGCCTAGTTCTCTATAAAACTTCTAGATATAAAGAAAGCGAGTAGAAGAAAAAGAACAAAAAAGGCCAAGAACGGCCCCTCCTCATGAACCATACACTACAATTGTGAGTCATATGAGGACAACTGATGCCATAAAAGACAGACACTGAACACACCTCAGAGGTCATTCAGTTCAGAGAAATTTAAGATAATAAAGCAATTTCCTTAAAAAAAAAAAAGCCACTAAGGAATGTATGGTTAATATTATCAGAAAGAAAACAGAAGTTATAGTTGCATATTTTAAACATTGAAAAAAAATCAATTTTGGATATAAGTTAAAATTTTAAAGAAAAAGAAACTCAAGGTGTAATTTACACATTAGCAGAAGTGAGAGAAAGAAAGAGAGAGATAGAAGACAAAGAAAACTTTACCAATCCAAGAGAAGACAGGAAAGGAGAAACTAATAAATATACCACACTATCGAAAATAAGACAGAAAAAGTAAATATAGTTCACCCCAAAAAAACAGAGAAAATGTAAACTCATTGGACCCATATATTTAAATCAGAGACTATCAACTGGACTCTTTACTTCAGTTTTGTACTGATGAAAACAGACATTTACAATCTAACACAATGGACTTCTACTTCATTAGTTTCCTTTGCAATCCTACGTATTTTATTTTATGCATTTAAACTCTTAGGATGTTCATAAACTTCACTTGACCGCCAGACAGGTTAAGTGCACAAAAAAAGAGTTATGAAAGTCCCGCATTTGTCACTTTGCTAATAAAATTAGCAACAAAACACCAATGTCCACCATCTCCAGGGGTGCAAAGGATTCTCAGGCCAGAAATCTGGCAAATTTGCAAATAATAATTGAGCCCAGCATCACCTGATCATCCCCAGTACACACACACACACACACACACACACACACACACACGCAGACACTCAATTGCCGTTTCTTGTGAAATGAAAAGCTAGGGCAGGGAAATGAAGACTGAGAAAGGAATGGGGCTTCCCTAGTGGCTCAGTGGTGAAGAATCCTCCTGCCAATACAGGAGACATAGTTCGATCCCTGATCCGGGAAGATCCCACATGCCAGGCACCAACTAAGCCCATGCACCACAACTCCTGAGCCTGTGCCCTAGAGCCTGGGAGCTGCAACTACTGAATGCTGAGGTCCGCATACCCTAGAGCCCCTGCTCCACAACAAGAGAAGCCACCACAATGAGAAGCCCACACACTACAACTAGAGAGTAGCCCCCACTCGCCACAACTAGAGAAAAGCCCATGTAGCAATGAAGACCCAGCACAGCCAAAATAAATAAATAAAAATTTTTTTCAAAAAGGAAGGGGAGAATTCTTCCCCAGCAGGAAGCAATCCTTCTGCCCCCAACACTGGCAGATTCTTCAATGGAGGGCACAGCTCTAGCTATGCTGCAAGATGCTCCAAGAGAATCCCAACCAGGCCTAGCAGGAGCTGCAGGTAGGATCTGGGAACAAGGCTGCTACCCCCATCCAGTGCCCAGTGCATGTAGGGGGCTAGCTGAGTACCCTGCAAAGAGGTGCCAGCATCTACTCCTTTTCTACTTCTCCCCTGGCTCCACTTGCTCCCCTGGACTCCTGAGCATACATGGAGGCCTGACCTTGAACTTCTGTCCACCTGTCTGGATCCCCAAATCTTTATCTGGCTTTAACAAACCCTATGCCCCAAAAATGGGAAGAGAAGGGGTTAGGGTCTGTCCTGGGCTACTAGGGGCTCACTGGAACCAGAGATCATGATGTTGTCATCAACCTACCAATGAAGATAACCATTGCTTAGTGAAGTGTTGTAAACCCCAAGTTTTCATAGTATCAAGCAGCTATAAACAATATTTTTAGGGAGTTATGAAGACAGGAGCTGAGGTGGAACAAACATCTTCACCTGAAGACATTTAAGTAATATACAAAAATAAAGTCAAGTCAGACAGAGAAGGAGAACAATTGTACGACATCCCTTATTGGTGGAATCTAAAATGAAATGTACAAATGAACTTACATACAAAACAGAAAGAAACACACAGACTTAGAGAACAAACTTATGGTTGCCTGGGGAAAGGAATAGTTCGGGAGTTTGGAATGGATGTATCCACACTGCTATGTTTCAATGGATAACCAATAAGGACCTATTGTGTAGTTCAGTGAACTCTGCTCAAGGTTTTGTGGCACCCTGAATGGGAATGGATGCATGTATATGTGTGGCTGAGTCACTCTGCTGTGCATCTGAAACCATCACAACGTTGTTAAATCAGCTATACTCCAGTACAAAATTTAAAGTTTTTTAAAAACACGTGTGCTTCACAAAGTAAGTCAAGCCAAGTGAATCTGCAGTTTTTATTCAGCCCCAAGGGCCATCAGTGTGCAAACTACACCAATATGTGCTGCAAATTACTCAGTCCTGAGCAAACAAGCTGTGCCCCAAACTATGCCTACATACACGGCAGTCTCTGTACACCATAATCTGGACTATTTGTTCCCTGCCAGCCCTAGGGGAAGCCTGGGGGCTGCCCACTGCCATCTCAGATTCCTTGTTTCTTGTACTCACCAGCTCAGCTGCTAAGCAGCCTCACAACTGGGGTCTGGGTAATGACCCAGATCACCACATCCTCCTTGGAGTCCTCAGGGCCTCTCTTCTCAAAGGCATGCATAATACACCTGCTATCACCAAGGAGAATATCTGGCCAAAGAAGGTGACATGGAGAATCTAAATATAGTTATCAGACACGTGCAATTTCTCCACTGAATAGAGAATATAGCAACTGAGATTTCTAAACTCTTGGCATAGAATATATGATTGTGGGCTTCATTCATGAACCAATTCTTTTACATAATTCATGCTTATTTAAAAATATCCTTGTCACCTGACAGCCTACAGAAAGGTAGGTTGAGTAGAAAATTATTAATAGCATTAGCACTGCCTGCAAATTGCAGGTTTTAATAGCTCTAGTCACAGTCTCAGAAATAACCAGAGATCATATTAAGGAACTGGAGCAACCCTAAAGGCCGAACAGAAAGGGAGACAGCAGTGCTTACCATTCACATGGGCTTCCCAGGTGGCGCTGCTGCCGCTGCTAAGTCACTTCAGTCGTGTCTAACTCTGTGCGACCCCATAGATGGCAGCCCACCAGGCTCCGCCATCCCTGGGGTTCCCCAGGCCAAGAACACTGGAGTGGGTTCAGGTGGCACTAGTGGTGAAGAATCAGCCTACCAATTCAGGAGACATAAGAGACCAGGTTTGATCCCTGTGTCAGGAAGATCCTCTGGCGGAGGAAATGGCAGCCCACTCCAATATTCTTGCCTGGAGAAACCCATGGACAGAGGAGCCTGACAGGCTACAGTCCATGGGGTCCAAGAGTCAGATATGATTAAGCAGCTGAGCATGCATGCACCATTTCCACAATAGTCGGCTGTTTGCAAAGGGCTTCCATGCACATTATCCACCGTGATGCTCACAGGCAATGTGTGGAGGGCTTATTATCCTGGATCCAGAGGTGAAGAAACCCATATCTGCAGTGGTTCTCTCAACACCCCAACTGGTAAGTTCCAAAGCCAGGAGTTGAAGCTGGATGTATTGGCTCCACCTTCAATGGCTCAGCAAACTTTTCCTATAAAAGACCAGACAGTACATATTTTTTAGGCCTTGAGGTCATGGGTCTTTGTTTGTAACAAACGGACAGGTCATCCCGTCCGTTTGTTACAATCCTCCTGCACTGGTAGGTGGATTCTTCGCCACTAGTGCCACCTGGGAAGCCCATGTAAATAGTAAGCACTGCCTTGTCTCCCTTTCTGTTCAGCCTTTAGGGTTGCTCCAGTTCCTTAATTTTGTCTTCTCTGGCTATATCTGTGACTGTGACTAGAGCTATGTCTGTTTAGAAAGAGACTCACAGCCTTGGAGAATGAACTTATGGCTGGCAGGAAAGGGGGAGACAGGATAGTTAGAAAGTTTGGGGTGGACATGTACACTCTGCTATATTTAAAATGGATAACCAACAAGGACTTATTGTATAGCACAGGGAACTCTGTTCAATGTTATGTGGCAGCCTGGATGGGAGGGGAGCTTGGGGGAGAATGGGTACTCATATATGAATGGTTTAGTCCCTTCCTTGTTCACCTGAAACTGTCACAACATTGTTTGTTAATCAGCTATATTCCAAAACAAAATAAAAAGTTTAAAGAAAAATTATGCCGTTACATCTGCCAAAATTGCCAAAGACACTGTGTAACAAATGGGTGTGGCTGTGTGTCAGTTAAGCTTTATTTACAAAAACAGGTAGAGGGCTGCATTTGGCCCTGACTATAGTTTGATAGGGGCTTCCCTGTTGGCATAGAGGTAAAGAATCCACCTGCCA